CCCGGGGGTGCCTTGGTGAATAAACCCTCACCAATTCCCTTCTGTGACCCCGTGATGAATTTATAGGCAGCCACAAGCTCGCCTCTCAACCTTCTCTTGCGGAGGCTGAAGAGGTCCAGGTGCCCCAGTCTCTCCTCATAGGGCTTGGCCTGCAAGCCCTTAACCATACGAGTGGCCCTTCTCTGGACCCTCTCCAGGTTATCCACATCTCTCTTGAAGTGTGGCGCCCAAAATTGCATGCAGTACTCCAACTGCGGTCTGACCAGTGCCCGATAGAGGGGAAGTATCACCTCCTTGGACCTATTCGTCATGCATCTGCTGATGCACGATAAAGTGCCATTAGCTTTTCTGATGGCTTCGTCACACTGCCGACTCATGTTCATCTTGGAGTCCACTAGGACTCCAAGATCCCTTTCCACTTCCGTCCCACCAAGCAGATCATTCCCTAGGCAGTAGGTATGGTGGACATTTTTCCTCCCTAGGTGCAGCACTTTGCATTTCTCCTTGTTGAACTGCATTCTGTTGTTTTCTGCCCATTTGTCCAACCTGTACAGGTCTGCTTGTAGTTGTTCCCTGCCCTCCGGCGTGTCTACTTCTCCCCACATTTTTGTGTCATCCACAAACTTGGACAGAGTACACTTCACTCCCTCGTCCAAGTCACTGATGAAGATTCTAGACCACTAGATTCTCATTTTCAATGCAGGCATTTTGCAAAATAAAAACAACCCCTCTGCCATCCCATGAGTAGATCTAGAATTTCCTAAAAGGGGTGGGGGTGGTACAGAACACTTCTCTCACACTATGGGAGGGATGGGGAGGAGGTGTGGCTGAAGCTCCTGGGCCAGCAGGGGACACCAGGGAGATGGGTAGAGAGCAGGAGCTGGAAGGAGAAACCTGCCCCTGCTGCTGTTCCAGGGCTGATAGGCCCAGGGGAGGCCAAGAATTACTTTTGCCTGCTCAGGGTGCTGATGTTGGTGGTGCACAACAGCGGTGCACAAGTTCCTCCTTCTTGCACCTGCTCCCTGTCCAGCCCCCACCCATGTTGTTTCGCTGGCTGGGAGCAGGCACTGGGAGGAGGAACCTGTGTGCTGCCATCGCTGTTCCCAGTTGAGCCCAGCAACTCACAGAGCTTCCCGCAGCCCATGTCTGGGGCAGGGCAGAAGTGGCTCTGAGGCTCTCCCCACTGCCCAGGTCAGCTGGACACAGTGGTGGAGCAGGGGTGGATTTCTCTTTCCAGCACCTGCTCTGGGCCACCAGGGACACCTGGGCAGGGGTGGGCACAGGTGGGAGTAGATGTAGGAACAGGAAACCTGCCCACGGCTGACTCTGTCCCATGCTGAGCTCCACATCCTGCGCAACTGAGCCCACAGCTGAACGAGGGTAGGAGCTGCTCTGGGGCTCCCCCTGCAATTGGGCCAGCCAGGGACAGCAGAGGTGGAAGGGGGTGTCCGCACTGTCACACCATCCTGGGTCCACCCCTGGCCTGTTCCCTCAGCATAGGCAGCCCTGGAGCAGAAGCGAAGAATGCCTCTACCTCTAAGAGTTTCCCAAAACTAGCAGAAAGTGGCTTCTTCATTAGGCTAAAGAATGCTGGCATGAAGACTGGGAATCATTTCAAACAAAGGGCTATTTCACACTCTGTGGCTTTTGTACAGTGCATGTTTTATTGCAGAACAACAAACTCAATGCATTTTAAAAAATTTGGAGGCTCCATCAGACGGCAGGTCATTTCCTCATAGTCCTATGACGTGGTCTCCACAGTAAATGACTTGAATACTATGAAGACAGTTTACTTCAGATAAACGGTAATAAGGATTGGTTTTGCAATCTGAAATCACTTGTGAAAAGTACGAATCTCACAACTGATTGTGTAAATGTCAAGTAAAGCTCCTGGTTTGGTTCTTGAAGAGCACCCCTTCCAGCAGAGACAGTGGTCAGTGGAGTCATTCCTGATTTACAGCAGTGCAATTCAGAATCTTGGCCTGTATCACTGAAATATCCTAGAAATCTTGAAATATCACTAGAACCTTGGCCTGTATTACTGAAATATCCTGTGAAATTTTTATACTGGGATGATGAGGACGCAGTGGCAGATCAATGACATTTCTTGAAAGGCTTAATCTGAGATAAGGCTAGATCAACAACTCAGAAGCCCTTGGATCTGGTGCATAACAGTGCTACACTGCAGAATCCTGCAATAGGAGTGGAATACTGCTCAGACCTGCCAACAAGCTAATGAGAAGAAAAAATAAATTGTGTTGAGGCAACACTGGACAGAAAAGAAATAAATCTTTTGCTTGTGGGATCACACTTCATTTACTTATTTATAACGATCACACAAAAATCTATTCCTGATGCAGGATTTAAGTTGTGGATGGGAGCCAGAATCAAATGCAAGAGTGGGCAGGTTTTCCATGGGATGAGAATGGGAGCAGAACTCAATACATAGTCCCGCCTTAGACTGGTTCCTATCCACACTGGAAAAATCTTCATGTGAAAATGCATCAAGTTTTAACACATCAAGCACCATAAGATGAACCCAATCCTTGTCTAAACAGTGTTGTTTTGTTTACAATTATTTTAGCTGGTCACATTTACATTTGTCTCACATCCCTGATTTAGCTGCAAACTGCAAATGTGATCACAGAATTATCAGTCCTTGTCTATAGGGAATGTTTTAACCATGCCAGCTGACAAGTATGATGCATTTTCCTAGTGAGGACAAGCTTTATTGTTGCACAGCAGCTTTGCTGGTTGCATCAACAATTTGAACTTCTAGTTTCTAAGCTCAAAACAGCTGGAACAAAACTGGCTTTTCCTCAAGGGTAATGAAATGTGATCCTCACTAAGAATATACCCCACAGCAACCTTGTTTTTGAACCACAACTGTACCATGGTACCCAATACAGCTGTTATATTTCTTAAAGTAAGCCTACAATTCAACTATTTATAGGAAACACCTCATGAGCAGACGGTCTTAGACTCAGCAGGTTGGCACAATACACATTAGCATATAAAACACTTACACTTGGACTCTAAAGACCTGATCCCCAGCTGATGTAAATCAGCAGAGTTCTACTAAAGTCAACATGGTTGTGTCAATTTGTACCAGTTGAAAATCTTGCCCCAAGTGTTCATTTTTAAGATGTCTCATAAAAACTTGGGAGAGTCAGAAATTCCTTTGTGATGACAATATAATAACAATTGGGCTACAAGAATATGAAAGCAATATATTAGGAAATAACTTTGCTCAGCTGAAGGCTGTTTAAATGCTAATGTGCAGTGTGTAGTAGGATGCCTTTCGAAATATTGAAAAAAACAATAGAAAAGAATCTGGAAGCTCTGAAAACTTAAAGTGAATTTAAGCCTTGTGAAAGGTGCCAGGCTCACAGTCCCAGATACTGAAGCCTTCTGTTTAGTAACAGAACAGGGACGGAATAGACTGTGGCAACGTGAACTTCCCTTTGCCCTCTGGTGTTTGGGAACACCAACAACAGGCCTCTAGTTTCAAGAATGGATGCCCACTTCATTGGGAAATGAGAGGAAAGAACAACATTAATGCCACGTCATCTTGGCGTCTTCTCTAAGATTGCCAAAGATGCTGGTCAAGTAAGGGAGATGCAGATGTTTTCTAACACGGATCTGTTTTTACTAAACATGAGTCCAAGACTCACCAAATTCATTTCACATGGACCAGTAGGAAGCCATAAAAAATTATGAGTCTCTGACCTAGACTGGATTTTAACTCATGACCTAAAAAGTGCAGTAAAGGGACCTGAATTCCATTCACCAAGCTCTGCCATTAACAACGTCCCTTCCCTTTAAAAAGAACTTAGAAAACGATTTATATAAAGTGGTCACTGGGCACAAAAGATCATCTTCAAAAAGATCACCCTAATTTTCCCTGCATATAGTTACTGACATACTCTCTGTTTGACAGTGAAACAGGGATGACAACACCTAACTGACATTAAGGCAATCTGATTTCATGATCTTGCCAGGATTTCAGCTTTGAAGCTTCCCTTTGTCGTCATTCTCTATCAGAGATTTCTTACACGTGAGCATGAGAAGCAGAAGCATTGGTAAGTGCCACAGACTGCAGAAAAAAAGACTTCTGGAGCTGCTGCGGTCCGCATCCCTGTAGAACCGAAAGCCGAGGTAGGAAATATACAGATTGATAGGGAGTGAAATGACAGGGAAAGTCCACGTGGTGACGTCGAGGACAGGGGCCATTGTTGAGAGTCCAATTAAGGCCAAACAATGACGCAGAGCTACCCGCTTGCACATTGCCGGGTGGGTGACGGACATCATACAGTATCCTCCTCGGGAATAATCCTCCCGGAGGTTCCAGCTCAGGGCATTGAAATGAGGGAACTGCCAGGAGTAGAGAATTCCTCCCAGCAGTAATGCACCTGCAAAGCAAAAGAGAAAAACACAGTCTCATTAGAGAAAACGTACTCTCATAAGAGTGCTCACCTGCACCACTACAAAGAATGCTGGAGACAAGATTTCAATGCCAGTGTTCATGTTACAGCTCCTGTTCATGAAACAGCATCTCGTTCTGTACAGAAGCCAAATGGACACTCTCTATCAGCAAGAACTTGGGATTTGTTAAGGAAACTTGTTTTTTAATCTGAAAGTGTTTCTTCAAATTACATTCTCCTAATGTATGCCATTTCTGATGCACCCATCATCTAGGGATCTAGACTACATTTCAGTCTGCCCAGGAGCAAATCACTGCAACTCAAGTTAGGTTTGGGAGAATGCTTCCACAGAGCAGTCCCTGGGACCCAGTTTGCTCTTCCCCAGATTCCCTAATTGGACCATCCATCCAGAGAAGTAAATGCACAGTAGAAGGGAAAGGAAAAAGTTAACAGGAAATATGAGGCCAATATGCAGTGAGAAAAGGAGATGTAGCTATGAGGACTTGTTCTGAGAACTGTGATAACAATGATAGTGATAATAGTTGGCTGGCACTTTTGCTTGCTAATTTTATTAACACAGCAAATTGCTCCTGGAAGTGGAGGTCTCTTAATTGCTTCATCACTGTACCCTGAAAAAACTAACTGCAAAACTTGTAGAGGAAGGGGGAGAGCTGCTTCCTTCCCTAAATCAACTCTGAATGCTGATTTTAATTATAAATACAGCTTATGTAGTATAATCTTCATAACGTCCTAAACATTCTTAAGACCTGATACAAAGCAGACTGAAGTTATCTGGAACCTTTCATGACTTCACTGAGCTTTGGAATAGACCCTTAAACTGGGCCACACACACTACTACCTACTGTAGATATGGATATCCCCTGACCGAGGTTCTCCTTGGTGAGCCGTTTTGAAACTCGCCTCGTTTCATTAACATCCACCTTCTCCATTTCTGTTTTGTTATCTAATTAGTGTCTTCTCATCTCCACACATTTATTTTTTCTGGGAATGAACTCTCACTTCTGAGCTACAACACTTTCTGACTCATCTGATAGAGACAGAAATGGCAAATTTTGACTTCATCTGGGGTAAAATTGGGTCCTTAAATCCTTCCCGAAAACTCTCACTTCTTCAAAGGGTAGTAATCAACAGCTCAATATCTAGTTGGCAGCTGGTATGAAGAGGGGTGCCCCAGGGGTGGGTCCTGAAGCTGGTTTTGTTCGATATTTCCATCACTGAACTTGAAGATGGGATGGTGTGCATCCTCAGCAACTTTTCAGATGACACCAAGCTGGGGGGGGGGGGGGGGGGGGGGGAGTAGTAGATAGCTGGAGGTTAAGGCTAGGATTCAGAGCGACCTAGACAAACTGGAGGATTGGGACAAAAGACATCTCATAAGGCTCAGTAAGGACAAGTGCAAAGCCCAGTTCTTAGGACGGAACAATCTCATGCACCACTACAGGCTGGGAACTGACTGGCTAAGCAGCAGCTCTGCAGTAAATGACCCGGGGGTTATAGTGGACAGTAAGCTGAATATGAGCCAACAGTGTACCCTTACTGTGATGAAGGTTAACAGCAGGGAAGTGATTATTCCCCTCTATCTGCCAGTGCTGAGGCCACATCTGGAGCACTGTACCCAGTCTGGGGTCTCCTACTACAGAAAGGATGTGGAGAAGTCGGAGAGAATCCAGTTGAGGGCAAGAAAAATGGTTCGGGGGCTTGGGAACATAACTTATAAGGAGAGGCTGAGGGAACTGGGTGTATTTAGTGTGGAGAAGGGAAGACTGAGGGGGATTTAATACCTGTCTTCAACTACCTGAAGGTTGGTTACAAAGGGGATGGAGCTAGGCTGCCTCAGTGGTGCCAGATGACAGAACAAGGAGCAATAACAGATGACAGAACAAGGAGGTCGCAAGTTGCGTCAAGGGAAGTTTAAGTTAGGAAAAACTTTCTCACTAGGAGGGTAGTAGAGTGCTGGAACAGGCTACCCAGTGAGGCTGTGGAATTTCCATCCTTGGAGCTTTTTAAGACCCGGCTACACAAAGCCTTGGCTGGGATGCTCTAGTTAGGGATGGTCCTTCTTTGAGCAAGGGGTTGGACTAGATCAGCATTTCTTAACCTGTGGGTTGTGACCCAAAAGTGGTGGCTGTGGGGGAAAGTGGCCAGATAGCTGGGCATGGAGGCTTTAGCAGGGCAGGGGGGATGGGGCACTGTGGGTTGGGCACCAGCAGGGCCAGGAGAGTGTGGGTTGGAACAAGCCATCAGTCTTTGCAAATGGGTCCTGGTACAAAAAAAGGTTGACAACCACTGGACTAGATGACCTCCTAGGGTCTCTTCCAACCCTAATTTTCTATGATTCTCTGAATACTATAATGATAAGTTCAGAACAGGAGTGACAAAGAATTTACTTCTTCTTGTGAATCTCTCAGTGGCTTATGACTTCTCTACATCTGTTTTGGTTGTAATTTTCTTCTATCTTGTCTTCTACAAGATAGTATTGTTGTAACATACATAACCTAGGCTAATACAAGGCCTCAGCTCTAACCATGACAACTGATGAGGGATGCCATGATTGCTTCATCAAAAATGCAGCTGTGAGGATAAAGTTTTAACTGCCTATGAGGTGCATTACCATCTGAGAAGTGGCCTAATCTCTTTTTTAAGTTATGAATAACCTTCTCTCTTCTGTAAATTACAGGTCCCTGAAAGTTGATTACATTAACCACAGAGGCAAAGGAAGGCTACTATACCAGGTATACAGATCCCTGGATAATGTAGACAATAGAAAAATTACAGGTACCAAAGGGCAAAACATCTAAGTAGCCTTCTATCCTTGAGGGGTTTTCCCCCCTTTCTTCTAAAACCTTGCAGTCAGAGACAGGACACAAGATTCAATGAATCACATATATAATAATACTTAACACTTACATAGCAATTTTCTTCTACAAAGTCTTTAACAGAAATTAGCTCCACACCACCAGCTGGGGCAACTGAGGCAGAGGGAGGCAGAGCCACACACAATTTGTTCCTGGTCCCCAGTCCTGTGAATAGACCCAGTCTTGGATCTGGCACACCACCTCTTACATTCCTACATCTTTGGCCTGTAATGTGGTTTTCACTTATGTAGTAGATCAATTTTGGTGTGCAGCCAACCTCCAGAGGCATCCAAAACCTCAAACATACAGAAAAAAACCGTAACAATTTTCCCATTTAACACCACATTCACAATTTAAAAAAAAATCTTAAAGTAACTTTCAGACACAGACCAGGAAGAACTACTTGAGACAAATTGCCATTTACAAAGATTTGGTTTTCACATGTGCAACTTTGGAATGTAACCACTGTGATTACATTACAACTTTAAAGATAACTGGTATTTTACAGAAAAGCTAAACAGTAAAACAATTTGACACACCCAAGCCTAGAGGTGCTTTCCTCTCCTGATTTCATGAGTAAACTTTCTGTTAGTTTCCCACATATCCTAGATGGTTTGTGACATTTTTTTACCATGACTGACTTTGTTGGGTTTCCACAGATTTAAGCGTCATGTACAGGCTGATTTGAAAGAAAAGCATGGTATATACACTAATGCCAACTCTCATGAAAAAATCATGAGACTCCAGGTCAAATGAACTCTGACTCGTGATCTCCTGACAGAGAGATCAAATCTCAGAATTTTTTCTTTTGGCGCACGTAGAGAGTGCCAAGCTGGTAAGTCTGTTGAGGGGAAGGGGCAGATCGAGGCCCCTACGGTGAGGGAGGGAGTGGGGCAGGGGTGAATGGAGCCCCAGGGCCAGGGGAGGCATGGGGAGCACATGCTCCCTGGATTTGTGTGCAAGGCAGAGGTGGGCTGTCCACTGTGAGCTGGGACTCTGCACCCTGCTGCCTTTACCCTAGGAACCGCACACACACACTTCACAAATAGCACCTCATGATTTACATTCCAAATCTCTTGATTTTTAAGAGTCTGTCTCATGATTTTTGACACAGTGGGGTTGGCAATACTGCACATAGTGTCAAGACAGGATACAATCTCGTATCAAATGAACCCAGGCTAAGAATATACAGTCAAGCCCACAGTGCACTCGTTGCTGGCCTGACAAACATTAATCATGTCAGGTACACCAGTGAAGTTTGTAATCAATGTTATATAGTGTATTAAACTGGAGAATTAGCTCATTCAGAATACAATTCAACACAATGATTTCTTTGCAGTGCTCATAATAACTCTGGACCCTAGGCATAACCAGTGTGAATATGCTTTCTTTCTATGGAGTTGGTAATTAAAGTGAGACCAGACTAGCTAGTTCATAACCATAATACATTCTGCTGGCATTTCCTCACAGTTAGCAAAGGCTGTGATCCAAGGTCTGGATGGTTCATGGCAGTTATAATTGCTGTTGGCTTGTTTAGAGTTTGAGATATCCAGGAGCTTAGAAATATCACAATCTTCATAAACTCTAGCAACTTCTTTGTGGCACTTGTTACAGCTATGAGTACAGATATACCAGTCTGCAACTGATGAGGATCCTTCAACTTCTATACAGTGTTTATGCATGTGAGACCACAAATACCTGGCTCACAATTATCACACGCTTTTTGTCGTCTTTGAATAATTTTTCGTTGTCATAAGTTTAGAAGTAGCCCATTTACATCCATTGCAAACTCTATCAGCTTCTCCAGGTGGTGTCTGGAACAGTTGTAAGCTGAGACCATTAGAAATTTTGACAATCTGAAGCAGATTTCTGTAAGATTTCTGAAACTTGAAGTTCACTATGGAAATAGGATCCAATTCCCCAGTGCCATCACACCTTTGCAGTCATTTACTCCAATGCAACATGGGTGTAAAGTGTTTTCTGACTTGGTGTTATCTATTTATCACTTCGTACTAGATGAAATAATCACAATTTAAAGGGCAACACAACAGAGAACCAGGTCCATAATGTCCACAGACTTAGAGGTAGAATTTGTGCCAAACATTTAAAATC